AATTAAATTGTAATTATAGATGTATAGCATCCCTTTATTTTATTTACTTATTTTTGTATGTGGTGTTAAGGATTGAACCCAGTGCCTCACCCATGCTAGGCAAGTGTTCTGCCACTGAGCCCCAGCCACAGCCCCTCCAAAAAAAAATTTCAAAAGAAAAAAGATTCTTCAGGTTGTGGCTCAGCGGTAGAGCACTTGCCTAGCATGTGTGAGGCCCTGGGTTCGATCCTCAGCACCACATAAAAATAAATAAATAAATGTATTGTGTCCAACTACAACTAAAAAATAAATATTCAAAAAAGGTACTTCAATTAGTGAAAGAAAGATGCTTATGATATTGAGAGGATTATTTTTGCTGCTGAGCATGAGAACAGGAGCCAAGCCCATGATCACTATTCATCTAAAACACCCAGAAACATTCAACTTTGTTTTTCTTTCTGAAGAGGTGTATTAAGTATTCAAAAATATGTGGGGCTTTCACCTTTGACTTTAGTTTTTAAACCATTTTTCCAAAAACAAGTAACCCCTGCCAAAATAGTACATGGATCTGAGACACAAGATGGCTGGATCTTTGTTTTCTTATTTCAAGCTTCACCCCTGTCTAAAATTGCAATGTAACTAATGTAAAATCTCAGAACCCTTAGAGAGCCCACAGTTTATCCTTCTCTGCATTCAATTTGTTTAAATGTGAAGATTTCAAGAGGAAATTATTCTAAAAAGCAAAGACTCAGTTATTAAACAGAGTTAGCTTAACATAACTGAATTAAGTAAACATTTTTTTGATAATGAAATACCATTTATGAACACCAGTCTACTAAAGTACATGAAAATTCCAGTTAGGAACTAGCTTTCATTGAGAGTTTACTTAGTGTCGGGCACTGTACTAGGTGCATTACTTGCTTTCTCATTTAACTCTAGAGGTAGCAACATACCTTATAAATGGTATTCCCTACCAATACCACCTAGGAGATTAGCATATACTACTAAGTGGTTTTTTTTTTTTTAGAGAGAATTTTTTTTTTAATATTTATTTTTTAGTTTTTGGCGGACACAACATCTTTGTTTGTATGTGGTGCTGAGGATCGAACCCGGGCCGCGCGCATGCCAGGCGAGGGCGCTACCGCTTGAGCCACATCCCCAGCCCACTACTAAGTGGTTGATCCAGGTCAGTTCAAGTCCAAAGCTCAAGATTTCAGACTGTACTACTGTACTACTTTTCAAAGGAAAATAAAAACAAGTTACCCTAACCAGAAATCAAACTCAGACCAAAGCAAGGAAAGGGAAAAGCTCTTGCCATTAGACCTACACAGATTATGCCTGACCCCACACTAAAGGGCCTCGGGTAGTTATACGTGTTTGTGGGTCTGCTTTTTTGGGGGGAGGGTACTGGGCATTGAACCCAGGGGTACTTAACCACTGAGCCACATCCCCAGCTCTTTTTATGTTTTATATAGAGACAAGGTCTCACTGAATTGCTTAAGGCCTCATTAAGTTGCTGAGGGTGGCTCTGAATTCATGATCCTCCTGCCTCAGCCTCCCAAGCCACTGGAATTACAGGTGTGCACCATCATGCCTAGCTCTATCTATTTAGATGCTGTGTTCCAGTTTACAAAGTGCTTCCACATACCTTACTTCATCTCATCTAAGTTTCTATTTCTAATCAGCTTTAAGATGAACAACCAGGGTACCCATAATGCTAACATGTTTAGATAAGTTAAAACAATCAAGCTGTGAGTGAGGACCTGAGGCATTCTCCTAGGAATAAAGTACATAAGTCTTGGTGCAAAGATAGGACTTCTTTCCAGCCCAGATCCTCTCCAACTACTCAGTCTTCCTATTGATGAAGCATTTACTCTGCACCTCTATGTGCCATGTTCTATCCTGGGTGCTAGCGTTATAAGGATGACCAAACTTTGGTTCCTGCTTTGAGAAGGTCTAAGACTAGCATATAGGTGTGTTTAATATGACCAAAATCAGAGTGGATGAACAGAGTGAGGGTAGCTTGGCAAAAGCAATTATGGGGAAATTGATGCAAGCTGTGTAATTTAGCAAAGAAGATAATCTAGAAGATCTGAGGTTGAAAAGGAGGCTACTATATCATTTATGGTTCTCAGCCAGGTGGTAGATGTTTGAGGTGGTCACACTGGTGAACTCTGCATAAACCAGGGAATTGGTTCTCAACTCTGGATACACATAAGAATCACTTGTGGAGCTTTAAAAAAATATAACCACAGGGCTTGATCCTTTTGGAAAACTGTTGGGGAGTACCAACTAAAGCTGAATGTTATATTCCCTAGGACCCAGATTATAAATTCAACAGAAATATGGGTATATGTTCTTCAGGAAACACCCACAAGGATATTCATGACAGCATCATTCATAGCAACCAAAAACTGGAAATGACTTAGATATCCATCAACAAGTAAATGGAAAAACAAAATATGGTAGGTCCATGCAATTAAATACTACTCAGCCATCAAAAAGGATGAACCACTATTATCTTCAATAACATGGGTTGCTAGTACAATTATTCTTAGTAGTAGAAACCTTATACAAATGAGTACATACTGTTTGATTCTACTCATATAAAATAAAATAGAAAAAATAAATTTATTGTTTTAGAATTCAGGGTGGTAGTGCCCCTTAAGGAGAGATAGTGACTGGGAAGGGGTATGAGGTTGGCTCTGGGTGTCTGTACTGGTCTGTTTCTTAATTGGGGTGCAGATTATATAGTGTATTCAGTTCATGAGTATTCATCAAACTAAATACTTAGGATTTGTGCAATTTCCTGAATGTATTTTATATTTCAATATAAAGTTGACTTAAACATTTTTAAGAATATTTTTAGTTATAGATGGACACAATACCTTTATTTTATTTGTTTATTTATTTTTATGTGATGCTGAGTATTGAACCCAGTGCCTCACATGTGCCAGGCAAGTGCTCTACCACTGAGCCACAACCCCAGCCGTGACTTAAACATTTTTTTAAAAAAAAGAAACACCAATGCCTAGGCCTTACTGTAGGCCAGTTAACTCAGAATCTGTGGGTGATTGGACTCAAAGATTTGTCTTTGTTTTAAAAAAAAAAAGCATCCCAGATGACTCTAATGTATCATCATATCTGAAAACCAAGGGGCTAGTTGGTTCCTGGATTTGTAAACAGCTCCTTGGAGGCAGCAGCCCAGCACATGATAAAAGAAATGAGCTCTGGAATACGGTACATCAGTGAACCACATGAGTGGCTCTGCTTTGGGCTGGCAATGTGAAGCTTTTGTCTGGATCATGCTCAAACCTCAGTCTCGGCCACTGTATAATGTTTGCAATGCCACCTGCCTCCCAGGATTGTTGTGAGGACTAAATAAGATAATATACTTAGAGCACCTATCACAGTGCCTACAACATAGTAGGTGCTGGAGAAATGGTAGATATTCAACTCCTTTTCATCCTTTGCATCTGAGTTGCTAAGCACAGTGGTGAACATATTGCCCTAAATGAACAAAAACTCATGCTCCCAGGTTTCTCCTTCTGAATGAATTTCTAAAGATTGAAGAAATATTATAGTTGGAATAATGATGCCAAATGAATATTGGAAATTTCTGGACCCTGGGCTCTCACTCTGTTCAGCACCTACTATCCCTGAGTGTGATTGGAGAGGAGGCAGATCATAGATAAATACAAATCACAGACCTTCTTTGGAAGACTTCGCCCCTGTGTTCACCTCTAAGAAAGTGCGAGTCAAGATGAGGCCAAAATGTGAGTTGGCAAAAAGAATAGAAAAAAAAACCTAGTAATCCAGAAGACATACTATTCATAAAATGACAAATGAACACTTTTGTACAAAATGTCATGCTTTCGCAAAAACAAACAAAACAAAATCTGGGCTGAAAACAGGAGATCCAGGTTAGAGTTTTGACTCTAGCAATAATTAGTTGTATGACTTTGGATAACCAAACTTTTCTGTTTGTCAAATGAAAGTAATGCCATCTCCCCTACATCCTTTATAAGGACCCAATGAGTTTGAGATACGTAAAAGGCATTCAAAAATTAAGCTCCAAAAAAATGCAAGATGAGAATACTAGCTGGAAATTTACTTTGCTCAAAACTCCAATCATCTCCCCCAGCACCCCAGACTGAGACAGACACTCTTGTTTTAACTACTCTGAGCACACCCAGGAGCTACACCGGCCTGAGCTCACTTATGTAAGAAGGGACTGCAGCACTGCCTGGCATGTAGCATAATACTTTGCTTAATAGAATTCCTTGAAAATGTGAAGTCCAAGGACATGCCTAGGCTGTATATTTTGGAAAGAGGTACTCTCAGTCACAGAACACCAAACTGTGGCTGGAGAAAATGATGTCATCCAAGATCCTCTTACCATGGCCAATGTCAAAATTAAGATAGGAAGTTCAAGGACAAACTGTAGGTTTTCCAGACAAATATAAATTAGAAAAGCAGTTTAGATCCAAAATTCTGTCTTAAAATTTATGAATACTTTACAAAACATCAAGTGAAATTCATCCTATTCTGTAAGGTTTTTTTGGTTGTTGTTTATGTGAAGGTTTTGACAAAAATATACCTTAGTTGTATAGGAAAATATATTCCCTGACTGTATTTTTACTCCCTCTACACATTAAGAAAAGGGGGAAATTTTCATTGAGTCTCCCCTATATCTAAAAACAATGCCAAACCGAAAATAAAAATGTTTTAAGAGACAGATAAACTTGAGGGCTCGCCACTCTGGAGCTAAGAAATGTAATAGCTCAAATACCTGTTGGGTTCCTAAATGTCTAGAAAATGAAAACTCGAAATTAACCATGAACACTAGGAAATAACCTTGTTCGGTACAGGGCTTTCCCATCCACAAACCATTTCTGCGACAGACCAGTGTAAAACATCCCCAAATGTACGGATGCCTGGGGTTGGGAGGGCATCAAATTAGTAGCAGAAATAGTACTGTTGACTCTTGCTCTGGTTCCGGGGGAAAGAAAGAATCCGGTCTGATGCAAACCCTGAGGCCAGAGCTGGACAACTCGCCCCTAAGTTTGGCGCGTCCTAGCTCTGCGCCCTCGGCCCCCACTCCCCCACTTTCGCGGCACCCAGGATCCCAGTGCATGGTGAGGCCCTGGCAGGGAACGGACCCCGCGGCTGGGGCTGGGAACCGTGGCAATTGGGGAGGAAGGGCGGCTCCTCTCTAACCGGTTCCTTCGGCACCCAGCCCCCGGCCCTCACGCGCTCCCCTACCCCTGACCCCTTGCCCCCGGGCAGGTCACCTGGCTCGGCCGCTGCCCGCCTGTCCTCCAGCTGCTCGCTCTCTCCTGCCGCGCCGCCGCCGCCTCCTGGAAGCGGCTCGCCCTCCCAAGTCACGGGGCCGGCGAGCGGGCGGGCGAGCCTGTGCCAAGGTTGCGGGAACCGTTCTACCCAGCCAGAGCTGGGACCCTGCCCTGAGCACGGCCGCCACCAGAGCGAAACTGGAGAGCTGGGCTCGGCTCGCCCCAGCGGGGAGGGGCGGCTGCAACTTTGCTCCTGGACGCGGGCGAGGAGGGGGCGCCCGTCTCCAAACTCCGTGCCGCGCCGCCAGTCTCTCCAGTCCAGGGATTTTTTCAACCCCCTCCCCTTTTTTTTTAATCTAAAGGGAAGTCATTCTTGTCCTCAAGTTCTTGCTGCCAGAGCTGTGCGGCTCCGCGGGACGGAGGACCTCGGGGCCCAACTGGGGGTGCGGGAAGCGCGCCCCGCTGGGTGCGCTGGCGACTAGCCTGGTGAGGGCGCGTGGGGCGGCGGCGGGAGGGGAGCGGCTACTCAGGGAGCCTGCTCGTAAGGCTCCTTGGGACCCCACTCCTCTGCCAGCACTGACCTCCCTCCTACCCAGAGCCAGAGCCCGGGAGGGGAAGCGGCCTGGAGGGACTGGGCCAGCGGCAGGGAAGCAGTGACCCGGACCTGGATCGCAGAAGTAGGAACTGGAAGTGACAGCGGCATAGGGCAGAGCAGCAGCAGCAGCAGCACCAGCAGCAGCAGCAGCAGCACCAGCAACAACAGCAGCCTGGCTAGCTGTGGCAGCAGCAAAAGCCATGGTAGAACAGCAGCAGCTACACTGCGCATGCTGCTACCACCCGGTTCAGTCCCAAGCCCTGGGCTACCAGTGCCTGGCTGGCCTTGGGCCACTGCCAAAGATTCGGGCGGGAATCCTGGACTAGACGTTCCTAGTAGTGGCCCACTTTCTCCCCCACCCCCAGATGCTACTCAGAACCCCCAAGCTTCCTGTTGAGCCATGAGACACCCAAGCACAAAGCTCTCAGTGGCCCTTCACATACCTCCCCTCCCTGAACTACTCTAGATGCCCTTCCTAAGCTCTCTGACAACAGACCCCAAATCAAATAGTCTCTTTGAGGAAGAATAAAACAGTTTCCTGATAGATGGGAAATATTTACAACCTTACTTGAAGTCTAATTTTTACAGAAATACAATGTGGTCAATAAAAATTTAGGATGGCCAGAGTCATGGGTGACATTCAATTAAGTTGTGGAAATTCCATTTGGTGTGTCATATGTGCTCAGCAGGAGAAGAAAAACTTACCAAAATCTTCTTTAGTCTTCTCACTAGTCAAATTGAGCAGCTAATTATGCAAAGCTTGCCCACTGGAGAATGATGGCAATGGAAAAATTAAGAGGAGTCTCAGACCATTAGACATTACCCAAGCCCTACACTAGTCTCATTTTACAGGTGAGTCAACTGAGGCCTAGAGAGGAGGCTCCGACTTCACACAGATGACAGGGTCAGGGCTTGGAAGAAGGCCTGTTGTACCATTACAGCTATGGGTTGGTTCTGGGCCTTGGGTCTATGCTCCAGGGAGGTACAGGTCTCCTAAGAGCTGGAGCTGGCTGGTTGGAGATTTCTCCTTGACTCATGATTATTAGTAGAGCTGCCTTACTCCCCGCCTCCCTGCAGAGCAGCCCCTGGGAAATGGCAAATCGTCCATCCCACAGGCCTCACTTTGGGGAAGGCACCCATGCTGTTCCAGTGACAAGGCAGATGGAGTGACTCAGGAAGACAGGAGGGAGTGAGGGGGTGGGGACAGAGAAAAAGCCATACACTTTCCAGCTGGTATTGGAAGGAAGGAAGAAAGAAGGAAGCAATGAAGAGAGAGGGGGAAAAAAGGGAAGGAGGGAGAGAGAGAAAGTGAAAGAAACACTAATTGAGCCTCATATTCATTCAATGAAACTCTTCATGAGCAAAACATCCTTTGGCAAAAGTAAGCTGGACCCAGGAGCAAAATACGAGATGTTAGGATGTCCCTAGCAGTGAGTAGGTAGCAGTGGTGGTAAAGGACAAAACAAGAGTACCTATTGGGGATGAAGCAGGGGAAAGGCCTGGTCCTTTAAGCAGAGGAAAGCCACAAGGCTGGAACTTTCGCAGTCAGTCCTGTGGCTGTTGCCAGAACAATGCAGGGAGGTACTACATAGGCCACTTCCAACAGATGAGAATCATATGTGTCCCTGATACCCACTGAGTCCAAAGGCAAAACACCAACAAATCTATCTATCATTGCTAAAACTCATGTTGTCATGTTGTGAAAGACTTCCTAGTCACATTAGTTACACTACCTGGAAACAAAGATTTTTTTCCATAGGGGATTTGGAAAGTTTTAACTTCAGACCCAAATACCACCCCCTGGCCTTCTTCATTGTGTAAGAAACTAAAAAAGATATATTTGGTTTAGAAAAAGCAATACAGATGGACTATAAGGGAGAGGATGTCCTAATTCATTAGGAATCATGAAATACAAATTACAGCAAAAAAATATAGTTTTCATCCATTAGTTTAGCAAACTTTAAAGATAAATAATATCCCATGCTGTCATACACACAAGGAAGAGGACTCTTCTAACTGTTGGTGGCAGTGTAACTTTGGATAGCATTTTTCTAGAATAATATTATCTATCAAATTTTGACACAGTCATTCCACTTCTGAGAAAGATTCTTCAAAAATAATCACAATTGTACACAATTTTTTATGTGCACATGCAACGTAACTCACTGGAATTTATCCATAATAGAAGATTGATTTAACATATGAAAATCAATGAATGTAATAGAACATATCAATATAAAAAACAATGATCATCTTCACAGAAGCAGTAAAAGCATTTGACAAAATCCAGCACCCTTTTACAATTAAAAAAAAAATCCCTCAACAAACTAGCAGTGTTAGGGAATTTCCTCAACATGATAAAGGGTATCTATGAAAAATACACTGCTAATAACATATTCAGTAGTGAAAGTCTGAAAGCTTTAGTCTTTAAAATCAGAAACAAGACAAGAACATTCTCACTACTTCTATTTAACATTGTGCTGGAGGTTCTAGGCAGACAGATGAAGGAAGAAAATGAAATGAAAGTTATCCAGATTGGAAGGAAAGAAGAAATGGTATCTGTTCACAGATGACATAATCTTATACAAAGTTGAAGAGAAATATAAAAAAATCAATTGTATTTCTATACACTTGAAATGAAAAATTCAAATACAAAATTAAGAAAATAATTCTATTTATAATAGCTTCAAGAAGAATAAAATACTTTGGAAAAAATTAAACCAAGGAGGCATAGGACATTTACACTGAAGACTACAAAACATTGTCAAATAAAATTAAAGAAGACCTAAATAAATGGAAAGATATCCTGTGTTTATAGATTCAAAGACTGAAAAGTTATCAAGATGACAATATGTCCCAAAGTGATCTGCAGACTGAACACAATAACTATCAAAATCTCAGCTGGCTTTTTCCCCCCACAGAAATGGACAAGCTGGTCCTAAAATTCACATGGACATGCAAGGGATCCAGAATAGCCAAAACAATTTTGAAAATGAAGAACAAAGCTGAGGACTCACACCTTCTGATTTTAAAAAGCTACATTAATCAATTCAATTGAAGAAAGAATAATTTTTCAATCAATTATACTGAGGAAAAATGCATGTGTGCATGCAAAGGAATTCATTTAGACCCTTGTCTCCTATCACATAAAGAAATTAACTCAAAATGGATCAAGGCCCCTAGTGTAAGAATTAGAACTGTAACACTCTTAGAAGAAAAATCAAAGTAAATCTTCATAACCTTTGAATAGGCAAGGGTTTCTTAGATGATATGAAAGATACAAATAACAAAATTAAAAAAAATAAATGAATTTGACTTCATCAGAATTTTTTAAACTTTTGTGTTTCAAGGGATTTTATCAAAGTTGGGGAAGTGCTTCAGAGAACACTGTTACCCAGGTGTCTCAGCAGACTTCCCCCATCAGTTACTATTTGTGTGATCCTCTGGAGACCCTAAGACATTGTCACAATATGAGAACACAAAGATAGAAGTCATCTGGAAAAAACCAAATGGCCTCAGAGGTCCAGAAGGCAGCAGCTCTTTAATGTGGTCCCTATGCCCCAGAATCTGATTCCCAACTGCATCTCAGGCTCCATGTTTTTTACATTGTCAAACTGACCATTTCAAGCTGGCACTCATTCTTTAGATGAGTAACGGTGTGTTCTGGGCAATAGTCAAGCCCTGATTTTTCTTGCTTTTAATATATTCACAGTTTTATAGAGTGAACAAAACTTCATTAGACATGTCTTATGTCAGGCACTATGCTAGGCCTGACAGATACTCTGTCTAGTGACACTTGAAAATATTTGTGTGTTTGAGTCTGTTTCCTGGCTTGAGACTTTACGGTCAACATAGCTGCTTGGAGCTTCCCAGCTCAGCTTCCAGTCTCATCCCTTGTTTACTAATTTTATGAGTCTTCTCTCAGGGTTCTAGGAGGGCCCCAGTATGGCACCTGTATATCACCTACAGACATGAGTAACAACACATCCAAGAACAGCCAGTGTTCATATTTTTGTACAGTGATATATTAAGTGCCTTGCATCATCTCATTTGATCCTCAAAGCAATCCTATGTGGTACATATTGCTAATGTCCTCATTATACAAATGAGGAAACAGGAGCACAGACATGGCAAGTAACTTTTCCCAGAGTCAGTAACTGACCAAGCCAAGACTCTAACTCAGATTAAACTAGGGAAGGCTTATGAGTAACTGCAATTGCAGATATTGCTTTTTACCATATTCATCACACATTCAGGTCAGCCTGAATTATCAAAAAGAGATGAAAATATGCCCAATCCTTTTTAAGAAGATGAATTATTGTGATGCACTTTTTAGAAAGATTTCTACCCAAAGTGGATAAAAATATTTTAAGCACTTATGCTTAAAGGAGTAAGCATTAGTTATTGGAAAAATCCCCAACAATGCCAGACCCAGGAGGTATTTCTGTACCATCTAGTATTCTTAGAACTGCAGAGTAGCTCAGTCTACCTTCTGGCAGCTTCAGAGCACAGCAATCATTGGCAACTTCACCATGTTTTTATTTGAAAAATTAAAAAAGAAAATACCATGATCTGTTCCATAGTAGACATCATTCTATAAGGAATATCAAGTGGTGGTCTGAAGCTATGTCTACCCCAAAAGCCACATGCATGCACATGTGTGTCTCTCACACACACACACACACACACACACACACACATACACACACAGCTCTCAAATTGGGCAATAGGGAAAACTGGAATAAGATATTCTGAGATAGGTGTTGCTTTACACTAGGGCTAGCTTTAGGGAAATTGTGAAGCAAGCTAGGTATCTGGGGTGAAGTTCCTAGTACTGCTAATAAGAAGAATAACTACCACTTGAAAATGTTCCAAGAACTTGTTTGGGGGATTTATATGACTAAATTCATTGAGATTTCACATCAGTCCTATGACATAGGTACCCCTATTATTCCCATTTCACAAGGGCATAGAGGCATATTTAAGTAATATGCCAGAGATCACAAATCCACTAATGAAGAGAAATTAAATTTTTTTTTCTATTTTTGGTGGTTCTAGGGATTGAACCTGGGGGGGCTTGTGAATGCTAAGCAGACACTCTACCAACTGAGCTATATCCCCAGCCCCTGGAATTGAGATTTAAACCCAAGAAATCTAGCACCAGAGTCCAGGCTCAAACCTCTACTACTCTGGGCTGGGATTGTGGCTCAGCGGTAGAGCGCTTGCCTAGCATGCTTGGGGCCCCGGGTTCAATCCTCAGCACCACATAAAAATAAGTGAATGAGATAAAGGTATTGGGTCCAACTACAACTAAAAAAAAATTAAAAAAAAAAAACACACTAGTACCTGTCCACAGGTTACACTGCTAATGCTAATCTACTAATAAAGGAAACTTTTGTCCCAGCCCTGTGCTGAGGACATTACATAAATTATCTCATAGATCTTATGAGGTTGGTGTTTTTAGCCCTAAATTGTTATTCAGTGTCTCATTTGATCCATTAAGGAAAAGTAACTATTATTATGTCCATTTTGCAGATAAAAACATCAAGGCACAGAAAAGTTAAGTATCTTGACACACAGGTGGAAGCATCACCTCCTTTTCAGTAACACCATTATAAAAGCTGTAAGGACCCATTAGTGATGCAACATACTTTAAGATATAATTTATACCTCGAGGCCAGGCTCTCTCAACTTTTCAAGACCCCTGGTCTGAGGAGTTAATGGGAAACAATGGCAATGGCCTTTCTTTGCTTCCCAACTCAAGGGAATTACAGTGACCCTCTTCAGCTATCAGTGGCCTACTTTTGGTTCCCCTTTGTGGGGAAGAACACCCACAAAAGCTCTGTCACTGGAAGCCTATTTTAAGGGATTGGATGTGTGTTTAAAAGGCATAATTTAGGGCTGGAGATGTAGCCCAGTGGTAGAGCATTATCCCAGAGTGCTTGAGACCCTGGGTTCTATCCTTAGTGCTGAAAAATAATAATAATAAAAACAATAATAATAATAGGCACTACTGTTATTGGTAGTTGACAGAATCTATTTATTTATTTATTTATTTATTTATTTATGGTGCTGAGGATTAAACCCAGGGTGTTGCACACACGAGGTGAGTGCAGTACCACTGAGCCACAACCCCAGCACCATCTTTTGAGTTTTGTTTGGAACTGGTTTATGGAAAAGACCAACACTAGCAATCTACCTCTGCGGGCCACCAATCTCAACTCTGGTTTCTATAACATACTACTCCTGTTTAAGTCAGTGGCCATTGGCAGTGAAAATCGATGAAGTACACTTACTCACCAATTTTTATCAGCAGAGCACAAATAGTGACAACAAGGAAGATAAGCTGGGTAGGCTTACCTCCACTTGGAGGGTTGCACATCCTTTCAGGAAGCCATTGATGTTACTGATGCAGCTGGCTTCATTTTGGGGCTCCAGACAATACTAGAGAAATACAGTCAAATGTCACTTGGAGATTGTCATCCCATGCCCAGCAAACCATATTCATCATTCGCTGATAGCTAAATAAGGCAGAGGGTAATGCTGCTGCCAAACCAGGAAGAGAAATAACCACCAAAGGAAGTGATGCAAAAATCTAAATGGTTGGTTTTTCTTTCAAATGTCACCAAGCCACTTCTACTTATGAGCGTTTTCTCATGCCTTCAACCTTCAGGTGGTGATAACAAATTTAGAAAGACCAAGACAGTATTTGTTTGAGTTCAGTTCTTGCTTTCAAGCAAGAAAGCAATACTTCTTACCTCCCCTCCCCATGACAAATTATTAAAAAATTATTTCCCTTGGCTGTTGTCTAATTTGATTATATTTCTCTGTTTTACCCCCATTTTATCACTGTGTCTCAGGTTTAAGAGATTATAAGTTAAATCTACTTGCTCAATAAAAATACAAACTGGTTCAAGAAGACAAAAGAATGCTACTCAGTCATATTCCATGATGAGCTTAAGAAAATAATTGCAGGACTCTACCATTAAGCTTACTTAAAGGGCCTAACTTAGAAATTATCTATTGTCAATATCATGGGCTCCCAACATCAAAATATCTTGGGATTTGGGGCTGGGATTATGACTCAGTGGCAGAGTGCTTGCCTTGCATATATGAGGCATGTATGAGTTTGATCCTCAGCACCACATAAAAATAATAAAATAAAGGTATTTTGTCCATCTATAACTTAAAAAATATTTTTAAAAATCTTGGGATTTTTTTTAAGAGGGTAAGTTTAGTTTCACTTTGAACGCACATTGCATTCAAAATATATATTTGGTTTCTCTTGTTTTCACAAACCTTATGTGACATTTTAAACCACTTCTGCTTGCTAAATAGTCCCTTCTTCAATGGCAATTTTTTGAAAAGGAAATTTACATCAATTTTTAGGCAACCTGTCAGTAAATATCATCAAGACCTGCTATAAATCATACAATTATTCCAAAGACTCATATGCACCCCAAGTTTTAAACATGTCTGAGATACACAGGGAAGTGCAGTATGCATCTCCACGACACAGAAAATTTGTGATATGGGTGTTGCCCTGTCCCCTCTTGCCAGTGGTGTAACAGGTTATTATTCTGCGAAAATTTGGGGGCCAGTTACTGAAGGAATACACTTAGCTTCCTGACTATTTCAAACTACAAAAGCAGTACAAAGGAATGTCTAACTTTCAGAAACATATTCAAGTAGGAGATTCTCACAACCTGAGTAGTGGGAAATCTTGAGAGTTATATTATTACTGCTTTCTGATGGCAAGCAATCCCAAAGATACTGCAAAATTGACCTTACCTTTTCCACTGAGCCAGGCATAAGTCTGTTGATCAGTTTGCATAGCACTACCCCATTTTTCAGCGAGGACTTCAAGAACTCCTCCGGATCACAGATGGTCTTTTTTGGGGAATCTAAAACTCCCAAAGATATAAGCCATGTCACGATTCTCTCTTCTGGATTCATTACTGTGGATGGTACACTCTGAACAGTTCTCTGGGGCAGCTGCAAGGACTAAGCCACATCCGTGATTGCATCTGCTGTTGTCTTCCTTTTTCTGAGTTCTCTGCTGGTGCTTGCAGAGCAAAGGTTTAAAACAACTTTCCTTAGACAACAGTGGAACCCACACAAAAACGTGGGATCTGAAAACTACAGAGATCAACACAAAGATATGGAAACAGGAAAAAAAAACAGAAAGAATCCTGGATAAACTAGTTTTCTTTTTCAAAATCTGAAAAGCAAATTCATTGGGATAAAAAAGGAAGAAGAAGCACACATGCATGCACTCTCTCTCTCTTTCTTTCTCTCTCTCTCTCTCTGTCTCTCTCTCTGTCACACACACACACACACACACACACAAAAAAAAAAAAAAACCAGTGCAAGAAGCTATAAGGAAAGGAAGTGAGGAGGATGCTGGGAGGGAGGAAAGAAAAGGAAGCAAGTGCTGTGGAAAACAGAGGTGAGCCAGCACTTCAGGGACCTTGGAAATGAGACACTCATGGGTCAGTCAGGGAAAACACTATCAATAAATAGTGTAGCCTCAGTGAAAATCTGGCTTCTGTTAGGAGGAAGATGCCAACTGGTTCTTAGGGCAGACAGATCTAAGCCTGGTGGGGAGCTATGCTGGCACAACAAAGCTCGGAAAAGTTAGGCAGGCTGAGAAAGTACCTCCAAAACATGACCGGATGTCCTTATACTATCTCAGAGAGATGCTGGGTGTCATGATCCTTCCTTGCAAAACACACTGAGTTGCACAGTGAAACTGTGCCAAGAAAATGAAGATTGTGCCTGCTGTCAGCCATCACTGTGTATAAGCAGAAGTTAGAAGAATGGCATTTTACTTTGCAGCCAAAAAGCTATGTTTAGGGAAATAGGCTAAGGATAACATCTGACATCCTGTTTACTTGCATTCTTGAGCAATTCTTTTTCTGGACCTGGTTCCACTACACAATCCAGCTGCAGTACCCTTAGCAAAGGCTCAGACACAGTCACATAAGTGGGTAAAATACACTTAAAAACAATGTATGAGAACAAAAGAGCACTGGTCCTCTGTGTATACTACAGGCTCGAAGGTTCATGTTTCCCCAACAAGAAACACTTTGCATTTAAAATACTGCTCTGAAAAAAAAGCGAGTCCATAATAAGAGAGCTCTAATTTTCAACTATATTTTCAGAACCAGTTAAAATAGTCATATTATTGAGAAATTTAAGTAAAGCCAAGTTTAATAAGATAGCTCTACATTGGCAAATGTATGTCATTCACCAAAATCACTACCCCTGATGCCTGGGGGACATCCAGTCACAGTTCTTTCCTGCTAAGCTTCAGAATCCTTTTCAACACAGTTTCAGGCATCTACTATCAAATAATCAGCTCAGATAATCCTGATAAGCATTTTCAAAACTGCCCCTTCTTGCTCTGTCAGAACACTTATCACACTGTTATTATTTGTTGACCTGTCTCCTCTGCCACAATGTAAGCTTCCTAGAGTAACTCTCATCTCCTTATTTAACACTGTGCTCTCAGCAGAGTGCCTGGTATGCACCATAGATGTTCAGTAATGCTGAATGTTGTGTGAATGAATGAACTCAGATGGTGTCCCAGGTATAGACAACACTTGATTATAACAAGGATTTTGTTTTGGAGGGTTTTTTTTATTTTTATGTTTTGGTTTTCTGGTACTGGGGATTGAACTCAGGGGAATTGACCACTTAGCCACACCCCCAGACCTATTTTGTATTTCATTTAGAGACAGGATCTCCTAAATTGCTTAGTGCCTCCCTAAATTGCTGAGGCTGGCTTTGAGCTACAGATTCTCCTGTCTCAGCCTCCAGAACTGCTGATATTACAGGCGTGTGTCACTGCATCTGGTGTTTTTTTTTTTTTTTTTTAATGACATAAGACAGTCTTACTAATTATTTTTGTGACTTTATTGAGATATAATTAATACATAATAAACTGCAATACTGAAGGCATACAAATTAATGAATTTTGACATATGCAACACTTTTGATATAATCACACACAAAATCAAGATAAACTTTCCATCACCCCCAAAAGTGTCCTTGTGCTCTTTTAACACCTTCTTCTCTTCCTTCCTCTGACATCTCAGGCAACCAAACACCAATGTTTTCAGTCTCTTTAAATTAGTTGGTTAAAAAAAAGAGATTAGTTTGTATTTTTAATTATCTTGTATAAATGGAAGTATACAGCACACTACTTCATTTCATGGGGTTTGTTTTTTAATAATATCATTTTTATTTATATATGACAGCAGAATGCATAACACTTCTTATTACATATATAGAGCACATTTTTTCATATCTCTGGTTGTATAGATAGTATATTCACACCGATTCCTGTCTTCATACATGTACTTTGGATAGTAATGATCATCACATTCCACCATCATTAATTACCCATGCCCCCTCCCTTCCCCTCCAACCCCTCTCCCCTATCTAGAGTTCATCTATTCCTCCAATGCTCCCGCTCCCTATCCCACTATGAATCAGCCTCCTTATATCAAACAAAACAATCAGCATTTGGTTTTGGGGGATTGGCTAAATTCACTTAGCATTATCTTCTCTAGCTCTACCAATTTACCTGCAAATGCCATGATTTTATTCTCTTTTATTGCTGAGTAATATTCCATTGTGTATATATGCCATACTTTTTTTTATCCATTCATCTATTGAAGGGCATCTAGGTTGGTTCTACTTCATAGGGTTTCTTAATTCAACATCATCATTTAGAGATTCATACATGTTGTGTCTATCCATAGTCTATCCATATAATAGGGATTTGACCCCCATATGTTTTGGCTGATATAAGCAAAATAAATATAGTCAGATGTTTTATTGCCTTTGACCCATGGCCAAATCTATGTAATGGAAATAAAAACAGAATTCATTTGTTAAGAAATTAAATTCCCTGGTCTGACCTCTATAAACACTTTTATATGTCATTTGGACAATTTTCACAATTGCTCATCAAAATTTTACTCTACAGACAACAAAATTTGGCAGTATTATTAAGGTATCACTTTCATTTTCTAATGAAGAACAAAGCAAGAGTAACTTCAGGAACCTGGCCTAGTCCAAAATAGGCTTGAGTTTATTGAGGTCACCTGGATGAAAATCTGCCTCATTTTGGATGCTGGCTATAGCAAATTAATATAAGGAATAAAGTAGAACCAGAAAAGCAAGGTCACCACCTCAAGACAAAAGAAACAGCTCTATTAACATAAAGATTGGAGTCAAAGTTGGTATGGTATAATGTCAAAAAAGCAGGGAATTTCAGGGCAGTGGCAAGCATCTTGGTGAAATGACTAATCGTGGAACTTGAGCTGGCTTGCTAAAGCAACTGATGAACTAGGGGAATAAGGTTGGCAGGGGAATACTGGAGGTCACAGGAACACAAAGAGCAGACTTCATCCATAAGCATGAGTAAAAAGGGCAAAAGTCTAGGACCACACCCTCTGGGACACTGAACCTGCCTCTGGAGTACTTGTCCACCTCCCCTTCTCATTTTATGAGTTCTCCAGCTGAGCACATTTTTACCAATTTTCCAAAAGCACCTCTAGCGTTAACATCCCTACTCAAAACCCTCAAAAGCTCTCCATAGCCTAAAGCAGCGATTGACAAACAGGGAAGTTCAGAATAATCACCTCCTAAGAGTGATAAATGAGAAAGGAATGAGTAAGTGGAACTTGAACTAAAATAGGTTTTTATGTAAAATAAAAATATCTGCAGAAAATAAGGCAAGTGTGAAGGTTTGTTAAAACTGGATAGTTGGTACACTGGGACCTGTTATACTTTTTTCCTTTACTTTTATCTACTTGCAATAGTCATAATTGATGTACTTTTAAATTTCAAATCTAATGGCACACTTGTTAAAAAGAAGGATTGGGGGCCCAATTCCCAAATATATTCTAACTCAGAAGATGTGCAATGGGGAAAGGAAAATGTATTATTAATATCACACTTGATTCTGCAGTAGATAGACCAACGTCACAGTCACACTTGAAGAAATAAATTGATTTCTGACCTTCTAGTGTACTCCAGTTTCTGCCAACACCTAGTTCACTTCAACTCCTCCAAAACAACAATCCAACACCATGTGCACTCAGTTATTTGACTGCTTCTTCCAGTAATTAATGTGTTAACTTTCAGTGTATCTTCATGCCTGTTCTGTGAAAATAGACCTGGAACTTTGAAATATATTTTGATTTGCCAGCTTGTATGGTTTTAAGTTTTACCAGTAATCAATGGTGCAGAGACATTGCAGTAAGGAGGGGTTTTACTTCCTGTTTCCTGTGTGCTCCCTCCGCATACTCTTGCTGAGCTCCCAGCTTTCCTTTTGGTGCACCATTATGTCTACTCTGTGAAAATGGACCTGGAACTTTGAAACATTTTTACTTTGCCCACCTTCTGAAGCGCTAGCTTCCCCAGGACACAATGTACCAAATGTACTGCTTCCCTTGGCACTGCCCTTGGGCAGTTCTGTAGCTAATTGTCTCTGTTAAGACACCTTCCTTGCGAACTAGTATCTTAGAGGAGCATATTTATGGCTAGTTCCAGAGGACAGATGTCCAACAAGTTCCACTGACTCAGCACCAAACAACTTCTCTAATATATGGCCTAGATATCAGAGAGGAGGGTTATCACAGTTCTACGAGTATTGGCTATTACACGTTATTTGTCTTTGTGTGTGTGTGTGTGTGTGTGTGTGTGTTGCTGGGGATTGAACCCAGGGCCTTGTGCATACGAGGCAAGCACTCTACCAACTGAGCTCCATCCCCAGCCCCTACATGTTATTTTTATATTGTCTGTTATTCTATATTACATCTGCTATTCCTATATTATTTTAGAGTTCCTTTTTTTCTTACTAGGCCAGTCCCTCAATGTTCCAATCCTGTTATACTTCTTTTTTTCTGTTGTTGTTGGTGGTGGTTGTACTGGGGATTGAACCCAGGGGCACTCAACCACTGAGCCACATTGCTAGCCCTTTTTATTTTTTATCCTTAATTTTTTATGTTAAACTTTTTCTGTTCAAATTACTGTGGGGTTTCTCTATCCTGATGGAACCTAAATTAATATACCTTGTTATCTTCAAAGAACAATTCCACTTTAGCAAACCATGTGCAAGGTTTCACCTTGTACTTTGTCATCACACAAAATTTTCTGCCTCTTGAATCATGAATTCAAGCCTCATATTTATTAGACAACCTATATTTCCAACTTACTTGCTCAGTTACTCCTACCATCTTTCCATAACTTCAGATTTCCAAATCATTGTTTTCCAAAATGATGAGACAATGAA